GGACCAATCAGACTGCTGTAGTTTGGATCCTATTCAACTCAGTACATAACAGACTGCACTGGCTACCGATTAGTTTCTGGGCCCAATTCAAAGTGCTGGTTTTGACCTATCAAGCCTTAAACGGCTCAGGACTGCAATACCTCAAGGACTGCCTCTTTCCCTATGAACCTACCAGACCTTGAGATCATTATCTGAGGTCCTCCTTTGTGTGCCTCCTCCTCAAGACGTCTGGAGGGTGGCAGCACGAGAACAGGGCCTTCTCTGCAGTGGCTCCCCGTCTGTGGAATGCTCTCAGCAGGGAAGTTCGCCTGGCACCTTCAATATACAGTGGTGCCTTGGGTTAAGAACTTAATTCGTTCTGGAGGTCCATTCTTAACCTGAAACTGTTCTTAACCTGAAGCACCACATTAGCTAATGGGGCCTCCCACCACCGCCACGTGATTTCTGTTCTCATCCTGAAGCAAAGTTCTTAACCCGAGGTACTATTCCTGGGTTAGCAGAGTCTGTAACCTTCAGCGTCTGTAACCTGAGGTACCACTGTACACCTTTAGGCGCCAGGCAAAAATGTTCCTTTTTAACCAGGCCTTTGGTTGACCTGATTGACATCCTATGCCCGTTTAAAACGTGGCTCTTTTGGTGTGTGTGTGTTTTGGGGTTATTGTTTTTATTCTGATTACAGTGGTACCTCAGGGTGCGAACGGGATCCAATCCGGAGCCCCATTCGCATCCTGAAGCAAACGCAACCTGCGTATGCACATGCGCAGGTCATGTTTTGCCACTTCCTCGTATGACGTCATTTTGACCATCTGCGCATGCACGCGTTGTGAAACCTGGAAGTGATGCGCTCCGTTACTTCCGGGTCACCGCGGAGTGCAACCCGAAAATACTTACCGTATTTTTCGCTCTATAACACGCACCAGTCCATAACACGCACGTGGTTTTCAGAGGAGGAAAAGAAGAAGAAAAATATTCTAAACGAAATAGTGGATATATGATTTTTGTGGTTCATGCTGTGGCCACAGACATGTGATCTGACAGTGAGTTTGGAGTAGCCCAATACAAAAATCCTGAGGATCCATGTAGATCCATGCTTTGTAACCATGGAGGAGGGAAGGAAGGGGAACCATGGATCCTCTGCTCACGACTGCAGCAGATCCCCCCCCCCCCCGTCACCCGTAGGCATTCCCTCCATAACACGCACAGACATTTCCCCTTACTTTCTAGGAGGAAAAAAGTGAGTGTTATGGTGCAAAAAATACGGTAACTTGAAGCACATTTATCCTAAGGTATGACTGTATATATATTGTGATCTTTTCTGTGAACCGCCCTGAGACCTCCGGGTATAGGGTGGTATATTAAATACATAAATTTTAAAACCGAAACAACACTAGGCTAGGGGTGTGTGGATTGGCCCTGCCAGCCTCCCCTTGTGGGTTGACACTGGTCTCATTACACCTGAACACGCAGGCAGGCAAAAGTGTTGCTAGCAGCCGCAAGCCGCAAAATGGGGTGTTCCAGGGGTGGGTAGAGGGGGGCCTCAGATCCCACTGGCACAGCAATCTGCCTTCGCTCACCCCCACTTTCTGCTTTGGATCTCATACCAATGAATAGTTGGCAAGGATTCATTCTGGGGGGGGGGAGAGAATGCCCCTCTCTGAAGAGACTTTTGCAGGGAGGGCAGAATGTGCCATTCGCCAGTGACACTGGGTAGCCCATCCCTCACAATACGAGATCCCACAGGACGGCATAATGTGCCACTCTACATACCAAATAATAATAATAAATAAAAAATTTTTATTTATACCCCGCCCTTCCCGGTTTAAAAACCGGGCTCAGGGCGGCTAACAGCAATATAAAACATTGACTAAAATGCGACTTAAAAACAGCATAAAATACAACATAAAATGCAGCGTCAATATCAATAAAATTCTAAAATTCAGGGTTCATTGGGGGGGGGGACCCAGTCAGTAGACATCAAATGATCACCAGGGCTAACTGGCCAAGTTGGTCCTACTAGGGCCAGCAAAGAGACCAGGGAAGAATTTAAATGTGGGGCCCTAGAAAGGGTTTCGTCATAGAAGAGGAAAGGGAGAAGGGAATAGAGGATCAGGCTAATTCAAATTGAAGGCCAGGTGGAATAGCTCTGTCTTACAGGCCCTGCAAAAGGAGATCAAGTCCTGCAGGGCCCTAGTCTCGTGGGACAGAGCATTCCACCAGGTCAGAGCCGTCACTGAAAAAGCCCTGGCCCTGGTGGAGGATAGTCTGGCTTCCTTAGGGACCAGGACCTTTAAGCTATTATTATTCATGGACCTTAGGGTCCTTTGCGGGACATACCAGGAGAGGCAGTCCCGTAAGTACGAGGGTCCTAGGCCACATAATCAGTCCTGGTTATCATCAATGGGCACAATCCAGGCATATCCACTGAGCCTCTTAGGCTTGCCGATCAGAAGGTCGGTGGTTCAAATCCCCATGACGGGGTGAGCTCCCGTTGCTCTGTCTCAGCGCCTGCCAACCTAGCAGTTAGAAAGCACGCCAGTGCAAGTAGGTAAATAGTTACCACTGCAGCGGGAAGGTGAACAGCGTTTCCATACGCTTTGGCTTCCATTACAGTGTTTCATTGTGCCAGAAGCGGTTTAGTCCTGCTGGCCACATGATCTGGAAAGCTGTCTGTGGCCAACCCCAGCTCCCTTGGCCGGAAAGCGAGATGAACGCTGCAACCCCATAGTTGCCTTTGACTGGACCTAACTGTCCAGGGGTCCTTTACCTTTACCTTTTACAGCTTAAGATACAGCTGTTTGGGAAAGGTATCATATTTATTTGCATATGTTTCTGCTGCTGCTTCATCAAAAAGCAGATATTTATGGCAGATTTGGTTTTGCCAGCCCCCTTTGGATCTCTAGGCAAAACCGCAAGATAAAGTGAAGGGGCCGTGGTCTCTGAGACAAAGATGTACCAAAATGCAGTGACGCTCCCCATCTCAGCAAGGCAGCAACATCTTTTTCACGTATCACCCAGTCAGCATTTTATAGTGCAGGCATGTGACTCCCAACAGCTGGAGCATCTCTCAGAGGCAGAGTCTCCTGTACCGCAAAGCCCCATGTATCTCTCTCAAAAGACAAATGCACACACACACACAACTTCTCCCGTCTCCCTCCCCCAAGATCTTGTGAACAGAAAAGCCACTGATAGAGATCTCTGCTAACCCATTAATAATGTGTGGCTGCTTTTGCATCTGGACCGTTTTCAAATTGTTCCTTGTATATTAATCATGTATGTTTTCTATTATAAATCCTGCATGTAGCCACAATCTAGGACACCCATATTCCCAAATGGAAACCTTAATGACTCCGCAATGCTAACAGAGCACGCCGCATCCTTTAGGGAAGCTTCCATCTGAGTCCACCCTGCAGTGAGGTCTTCTGGAGGTAATAAAACATGGAGGAGATGCTATCTGGTAGGTCTGGACTGTTTTGTTCCCTTGAAAGTCAAGCAGGCAGCTGATTTAAAGTTTCCAGCTAGGTCATACAAAAGTCAGGAGCAGCTGCATCCAGCCGGGTTCAGAGTTTGAATATTTATGGTGTCAATCTGAAATCCAGATAACTACAAATAACCTAAAGCCATTAACTCCCCGGCCACAAGAGAAAGCTCTCTGGCTGTTAATGTAGAGGCTGCTTGGAGTTATAAACGGGGGGAAAGAAAAAAGAAAAAGACCCTTCTGCAGAGGTTGTTATATGCTAAAAAAGCAGCCGTCGGTTCCCGCCACAGCAGACTTCCTTCCAGGAAAAGCTATTACGAGTGTCATGTGATCAACGGCAACATTTGGGAGCACCGAGATACTCAAGCGTTCAGGTCAAACCGAGACCACCAAGAGCAGAGCTTGATAAATCAGTCATCAACAGACTGCATTGCAGAAGTAATAATTCTGCCCACTTAAGTCAAATGGCTCGTGGCGCAAGAGCAGGACTCTCATTTCCCCAGGGCCATTTTGATTGAGAAAAGGGCCGCCACTGACAGGTTAACTAAGGGTGCATTCGGACACGAGGAAGACTGCGCTCACTTTCCTCATTATAACGCTAGGGCTTCTGTCCTGTTTTTCCAGTGGTCTTTTCACACTGCTCCATTGTGGAACTGTGGCTTTTTGAGCATGCCCCATTATGTTTAATTCACACTTGGTGAACATGATGCCCAGAGCCACTGTGGTGTAGTGGTTAAGAGCAGTAGACTCGTAATCTGGTGAACCGGGTTCGCTTTCCCGCTCCTCCACATGCAGCTGCTGGGTGACCTTGGGGTAGGCACACTTCTCTGAAGTCTCTCAGTCCCACTCCCCTCACAGAGTGTTTGTTGTAGGGGAGGAAGGAAAAAGGAGATTGTTAGCCGCTTTGAGACTCCTTCGGGTGGTGATAAAGCGGGATATCAAATCCAAACTACTCCTCCTCCTCCTCCTCCTCCTCCTCTTCTTCTTCTTCTTCTTCTTCTTCTTCCATACTCGCCTGTTTCTGCTCCCCTGTGACTCACCCATGAAAATGGTATGAAAGAACTGTGTGCTAGGATAGCACCCCAAATTCTGTCACTTAACCCCCCATGATTTTCTGCTGCTAAGGATAGGCACTGGATTTGAAGAAATCCTGAACAGAAGCTTTGGAGTTTGGGGTTTGTCTGAAGCAAGATCTCCACAAAGCACCCTGAACTGAAGCGGTGGCCTCTGTAGTGACTCAGAGTGTTCTGTAGATTCAAATATTAAAAAAAAAAAAAATATGCAGACAGTATGTCTGCAAGATTTGGAACATTTCTCCCCAAGCTTGCCATATAAGGGGAACACCATGGTGGGGGAGCGAAAGTTGTGATTGACAGGTCTAGTTTCTAAGCAGAGGCAGTGGTTTTGCCAGGGGTCTCCAGTCACAGAGCTTTGAGAAAGGATGCATAAGACCTTCTCTCCTGGACATTTTTCTGCCTCTGTGTGATGTGCCGACATCCATGCTCTCAGTTCAGCTTTGCACTTAGGTGGAATCTACACGCATATTAAAAAACCGCTTTTAAAAATGCTTTTAAAAAAAAGTTTTGAAAAATATATTGAATTTGCCATAGCAATGAGACACTAGATGGCGATGGTGAGCTATGGCAAATTCAGTATATTTTTCAAAATGTTTTTTAAAAAAGCATTTTTCAAAGCGTTTTTTTATATGCGTGTAGATTCCACCGAGGTTTAGAGGAGGGAAGGAGGTCCTTCACAGAGCAGCGAAGGAAGATGTTCTATGAAGCACCCTACCTCCTTAAACCTGGTTTAACAGACCGGTTGTCTTGTTGCCACCAGCACAGGTGTAACTCAGAGGTATCACTAACATGATCCCCAAGCCAAACCCGATGATCCCCAACATGATAACATGATCCCCAAGCCAAATGGAGGACATAGATGATGCCTTCCTGGAACAGATGGCCAAGCATGCAAAAGGAAGGGAGATAGTAGTAATGGGGGACTTCAATTACCCGGATATTTGTTGGATGTCAAACTCAGCCAAGAGCATAAGGTCAAACAGATTCCTCACTGGCCTTGCAGACAACTTCATTGTCCAGAAAGTGGGAGAAGCAACACGAGGAACAGCCATTTTAGATCTGGTCCTAATCAATGTTGATAACCTGGTTAGTGGGGTAGAAGTGGAAGGATCATTAGGCGTGAGTGATCATGCTCTTCTGAAGTTTACTATACAGCGGAAAGGAGCAGCCAAGAATACTAGGACTCAATTTCTTGACTTTAAGAAAGCCGACTTCATAAAACCTAGGGAAGTGCTGGGTGAGATCCCATGGACAGTAATACTAAAAGGAAAGGGAGTTCATGATGGCTGGGAGTTTGTTAAGAGGAGATAGTAAAAGCACAACTTCAGGCAATACCAATGAGACGGAAACATGGAAGGTGCCTAAAGAAGCCAGGGTGGCTATCTAAAGAACTTTTAACTGAGTTAAGATTAAAAAGGATGTGTACAAAAATGGAAAGGGGGAAACCACCAAAGAGGAATTCAAACAAATAGCCAGCACGTGTAGACACAAAGTCAGAAAAGCTAAAGCACAGAATGAACTCAGGCTTGCTAGAGAGGTTAAAAGCAACAAAAAGGCTTTTATGGGTATGTTCGTAGCAAAAGGAAGAACAAAGAAACAGTGGGGTCACTCAGAGGAGAAGATGGTGAAATGCAAACAGGGGACACAGAAAGGGCTGAACTCCTCAATGCCTTCTTTGTCTCAGTCTTCTCCGATAAAGAAAACAATGCCCGACCTGAAGAATTTGGAGCAAATGATTCAGCAGAGGAAACACAGCCCAGAATAACTAAGGAGATAGTACAAGAATACTTGGCTAGTTTAGATGTATTCAAGTCTCCAGGGCCAGATGAACTGCATCCAAGAGTATTAAAAGAACTGGCAGATGTGATCTCAGAACCACTGGCAGTCATCTTTGAGAATTCCTGGAGAACAGGCGAAGTCCCGGCAGACTGGAGGAGGGCAAATGTTGTCCCTATTTTCAAAAAGGGGAAAAGAGAGGACCCAAATAATTACCGCCCAGTCAGTCTGACATCAATATCAGGGAAGATTCTGGAGCAGATCATTAAGCAAACAGTCTGTGAGCACCTAGAAAGGAATGCTGTGATCACCAATAGTCAGCATGGATTTCTGAAAAATAAGTCATGTCAGACTAACCTGATCTCGTTTTTGACAGAATTACAAGCCTGGTAGATGAAGGGAACACAGTGGATGTAGCCTACCTTGATTTCAGCAAGGCATTTGACAAGGTGCCCCATGATATTCTTGTAAAGAAGCTGGTAAAATGCGGTCTTGACTATGCTACCACTCAGTGGATTTGTAACTGGCTCACTGACCGAACCCAAAGGGTGCTCATCAATGGTTCCTCTTCATCCTGGAGAAGAGTGACTAGTGGGTGCCACAGGGTTCTGTCTTGGGCCCGGTCTTATTCAACATCTTTATCAACGACTTGGATGATGGACTCAAGGGCATCCTGATCAAATTTGCAGATGACACCAAACTGGGAGGGGTGGCTAACACCCCAGAGGACAGGATCACACTTCAAAACGACCTTGACAGATTAGAGAACTGGGCCAAAACAAACAAGATGAATTTTAACAGGGAGAAATGTAAAGTATTGCACTTGGGCAAAAAATGAGAGGCACAAATACAAGATGGGTGACACCTGGCTTGAGAGCAGTACATGTGAAAAGGATCTAGGAGTCTTGGTGACCACAAACTTGACATGAGCCAACAGTGTGATGCGGCAGCTAAAAAAGCCAATGCAATTCTGGGCTGCATCAATAGGAGTATAGCATCTAGATCAAGGGAAGTAATAGTGCCACTGTATTCTGCTCTGGTCAGACCTCACCTGGAGTACTGTGTCCAGTTCTGGGCACCACAGTTCAAGAAGGACACTGACAAACTGGAACGTGTCCAGAGGAGGGCAACCAAAATGGTCAAAGGCCTGGAAACGATGCCTTATGAGGAACGGCTAAGGAAGCTGGGCATGTTTAGCCTGGAGAAGAGGAGGTTAAGGGGTGATATGATAGTCATGTTCAAATATATAAAAGGATGTCACATAGAGGAGGGAGAAAGGTTGTTTTCTGCTGCTCCAGAGAAGCAGACACGGAGCAATGGATCCAAACTACAAGAAAGAAGATTCCACCTAAACATTAGGAAGAACTTCCTGACAGTAAGAGCTGTTTGACAGTGGAATTTGCTGCCAAGGAGTGTGGTGGAGTCTCCTTCTTTGGAGGTCTTTAAGCAGAGGCTTGACAACCATATGTCAGGAGTGCTCTGATGGTGTTTCCTGCTTGGCAGGGGGTTGGACTCGATGGCCTTTGTGGTCTCTTCCAACTCTATGATTCTATGATTCTATGATGAACCTCCTATTTAGGGGAGCTCTTGCTCCCAAAGGTAAAGATAAAGGGACCCCTGACCTTTAGGTCCAGTTGTGACCGACTCTGGGGTTGCGGTGCTCATCTCGTTTTATTGGCCGAGGGAGCTGGCGTACAGCTTCCGTGTCATGTGGCCAGCATGACTAAGCCACTTCTGGTGAACCAGAGCAGTGCACGGAAACGCCTTTAACCTTCCCGCTGGAGTGGTACCTATTTATCTACTTGCACTTTGACGTGCTTTCAAACTGCTAGGTTGGCAGGAGCAGGGACCGAGCAACGGGAGCTCACCCCATGGCAAGGATTCAAACCGCCGACCTTCTGATCGGCAAGTCCTAGGCTCTGTGGTTTAACCCACAGCGCCACCCGCATCCCCCAAGTTCCCCCAAGGAACTTGCCCCCAAGTTCCTCCCTAAAAATAATTTCCCTATGTGACTTGGAGCCAGAAGTTCCAGCTCTTTGGAGTTACCCACACCCCGACAGTAGTCTTTCCCAATGGAAGTGGAGGTCAGGTGGGCAGTGAGCTGGGCACTGCTGTCAGGATGTGGGCTCTGAGTTGCTTCTGCCAGGATCCTTCAAGACAAACACACTCAAGACTTGGAAGGGAGATGGGGTGGCACAGAGAAAGATTCATAGGAAACATAAGCTTGATTCAGAAGACGAAGGTTCACTTTTGAGCTCATTTCTTCATCAAGGAGCAACACGGATGCAGGAGGAAAGGAAGAGTGATCAGGCCAGGGGTGTTCAAGGGAAGCGGCAGAAAAACCTACCTCTGGACCCACTGGGCAAGGGATTCGGTGCATAATATTCAGCTTTCAGACTGGGAAAGGTTATGGAAAACAGACTTGAAATTCTCGGCATGTTGCACGCTGAAAGAAAATTATATGAAAATGATGTACCAGTGGTATTTGACTCCTAGTAACTTAGCAAAAATGTATAAAACAAGCACAAACACCTGCTGGAAATGTAAAGAAAAAGCAGGCACCTTTTATCATATGTGGTGGACGTGCAAAGTAATAAAAGCATTCTGGGAAATGATATATAATGAATTTGGAAAAAATGTTTAAAATAACTTTTGTAAAAAAAACCAACCCAGAAGCTTTCTTACTAGGAATTGTAGGTACAGACATTCCAAAGGAGCAGAAAAGACTTTTTATATATGCGACGACAGATGCACGGATGCTACTGGCCCAGAGATGGAAAGAAGAGAAAGTCCCTACCAGAGAGGAATGGGAAACTAAGCTGTTGAACTATGCCGAAATGGCAAAACTGACCAGAAAGCTCAGGGACCAAGAAGACAAAAACTTCAAGAAAAAATGGGGGGGGGGAATATAATTTATTTAGGAAAGAGATGAAAACACTAGCAGGATTTTAATCTCACTTGTAATGTAACAAACACTATGGACAATATGGACAGATACAAAATGTAGATTATGAAATACTATGCAGTTGAAAAATGTTGACAATAGAACCCATGGAGGGGAGGTTGCGAAGTCTCGAGATTCAGATAAATTTCTATATGTGGATATGTATTTGGTATTGTTACAACTTTACATTTGTAAAATCAAATAAAAACAATTTTTTAAAAAACAACAACAACACCAAAACCTACCTCTGGACCTGACCACTTTGTTTGGGAGCCACTGTCTATATCTCCACAGCCATGGGGCCAAGAAACATGCAGCTTGCAAGAATAAAAGGAGAGATTTTCAAGAGCCAAAATCCAGCTTTGGACAGAAGATTGCATGTGGATTTGAAGCAGAGGCGCCACTCTGCGCTGAGGCATTCCGCGGCGAGTGTGTGCCATGCGCTTACCGGTTTACATTAATCATTGATCAGTGTCTGCCATCTTAGAAATCCCTCAAGCTAGCAGGGAGAGATGGTCACTTCACCTTCAGTCTCGCAGTGCTGCCGTCATTTACGGAGCAGGTACTGACAAACCCATGAACCGTGTGTCATGTCATCCATCATCAGAAATGAAGCCAACAAGGCGTGAAGAGACAGGAGTAGGAGGCAACTCTGACTGTCAGTTACTTTGCTATATGGGAAATGCCTACAGCTGGGACACGGCACAAACTGCGGCCGGTGGAAGCTTGTGGGTGCGAGATCCCAGAGCGCAATCGCTAGTTATTTCACTGGGACTCATGGGGGAGACACATAGGATGGCCATGTATGCGCAGCACTGGAAAGAACTGCATAAAAAGTTCCAGAACATTATTTAAGGTAAAGGTAAAGGACCCCTTGGAGGGATGCGGGTGGCGCTGTGGGTTAAACCACAGAGCCTAGGACTTGCTGATCAGAAGGTCGGCGGTTCGAATCCCCGTGACATGGTGAGCTCCTGTTGCTCGGTCCCAGCTCCTGCCAACCTAGCAGTTCAAAAGCGCGTCAAAGTGCAAGTAGATAAATAGGTACCACTCCGGCGGGAAGGTAAACGGCGTTTCTGTGCACTGCTCTGGTTTGCCAGAAGCGGCTTAGTCATGCTGGCCACATGACCCGAGAGATGTACTCTGTACTCTGGTTCCCTTGGCCAGTAAAGCGAGATGAGCGCCACAACCCAAGAGTCGGTCACAACTGGGCCTAATGGTCGGGGGTCCATTTACCTTTACTAAAGGACCCCTGGACAGTTAAGTCCAGTCAAATGCAACTATGGGGTTGTGGCACTCATCTCGCTTTCATGCCGAGGGAAGGAGGAGGAGGAAGAGGAGGAGGAGGGTTTGGATTTGATATCCCACTTTATTACTACCCGAAGGAGTCTCAAAGCAGCTAACATTCTCCTTTCCCTTCCTCCCCCACAACTCTGTGAGGTGAGTGAGGCTGAGAGACTTCAGAGAAGTGTGACTAGCCCAAGGTCACCCAGCAGCCGGATGTGGAGGAGCAGGGAAGCGAATCTGGTTCACCAGGTTACGAGTCCACCGCTCTTAACCACTATACCACACTGGTGTTTGTCCACAGACAGCTTTCTGGGTCATGTGGCCAGTAGGACTAAACTGCTTCTGGTGCAACAGAACACTCTAATGGAAACCAGAGTGCACGGAAATGCCATTTACCTTACCGCCGCAGTGGTACCTATTTATCTACTTGCACTGACGTGCTTTCGAACTGCTAGGTTGGCAGGAGCTGGGACAAAGCAACTGGAGCTCACCCCATTGCGGGGAGTCGAACCACCGACCTTTTGATTGGCAAGCCCAAGAGGCTCAGTGGTTTAGACCACAGCGCCACCCATCACAGTGTTCCAGGTCAAAAAGGGTTTTTTTTTAATTGATCCCAGAGACCCATCTTCCCCATCTGGAAGGGGCCATGGAAGATGAGCTGCAAGGAAGCCCAATTTGTGACATTCTACAACAGAAAGATTAGGAGAGATTAGGTGCTGAAGAACTTTCCCGAGGATTCTTTTTTCCTAAAAAAAATAAAAAATAAATCACAAATTGCTGCATAAATGTGGAGAACTGAATTTAAGATTTTTATTTTATTTTTTAATGAGAAACGGAGATAACTAAAATTGTAAGACCCATCCCTGGAATACATTGTTTTTGATCAATTACCTCAGTAAAGTGTTATCAGAAAGAAGAAGAAGAAGAAGAAGAAGAGTTTGGATTTGATATCCCGCCTTTCACTCCCCTTCAGGAGTCTCCAAGCGGCTAACATTCTCCTTTCCCTTCCTCCCCCACAACAAACACTCTGTGAGGTGAGTGGGGCTGAGAGACTTCGAAGAAGTGTGACTGGCCCAAGGTCACCCAGCAGCTGCATGTGGAGGAGCGGAGACGCGAAGCCGGTTCCCCAGATTAGGAGTCTACCGCTCTTAACCACTACACCACACTGGTTCCTCCCCCCCCCCCTCTCTCTTTGGACTCCTGTTTTGTTTCAGTGGCTTTGTAAACAAATCCCAGTGATGTTGACTGAATCAGAGAGTCAATGGAAGCTGACCTCAGAAAACCTGCCTTCTCTGGGCCAGCTTGAGGCCTAGGGTGGATCTCCACATGGTGGATGGGGGCGGGGGACGACACTATAAATAAGTCAGAAATTAAATTGTTATAACAACGGGGAGGGGGAACACTACATAAAAATCACATGATTGTTATTTTATTTTTATTTTTTGCTCTCCGGCACCCTCTGGTGTTGCATGTTTATAAGGCATTTAAAACATATTTTTTTCACTAATGTAGCTGAGTCCCTAGTCCAAGGGAGGCCAATCTGAGGGGAATTAGAGATTTGGACACATAGTGTTTCAGGAAGGAAATTGTAGCGAAAAGCTTCTATAATCTGATCAATCCTTTTGGCTTTTATAAAAACTATCAGGTGAGTATGAAATAAAAATTTGCACCCCCTGGCTGTATTTCCACCCAGAAGCCCTGGCTCTGAGCTGAGGGGTTGTTGTTTTTTGGCTGAAACCAACTTTTGATTCATCTAGTTCAAAAGGTGATCAGCACCTGTACTAGCTGTTTCTATCTTTCCCTAAAATAATGCTTTCTGCAAAACCCACATTTGTCAGAAACTGGCTGCTCAGCATGATTTTCTACATTTCAACATAAAATAGTCCTCACAGCTGTGGAATAATTCAAGTGCAGCCACAGAGCTATGGTGGATTTTTGAATGAAAAGTGAGGGTGCTTGTTCTTCCTCCACTGACAAACATTCATCTATTATAATAAAAGTAACCAATATTTTTCTCATTGTGTCCAAACCAGTAAGGTCTACAGCAGGCATAGGCAAACTCTGGCCCTCCAGATGTTTGGGACTACAATTCCCATCATCCCTAGCTAACAGGACCAGTGGTCAGGGATGATGGGAATTGTAGTCCTAAACATCTGGAGGACTGGAGTTTGCCTATGCCTGGTCTACAGTGCACTCAGTTGCACCAACCAAAGACCCATGGATGAAAACTATTGATTCTTATAAAACGCACTTATTTGTTTCAACCAGCAGAGAACAGTTTATCAAACAATTTGCCCAGAATGGAGGTTCTAGCAGGGAGAGCCAACTTGCTTCTTTCTATGGAGACGAAAAAATTATGTTATTCCATAGTCACTTGTGAATTTTCTTTCCTCAGCAGGACATAGTAAGAGAGAGGCAGTTCTTTGTCCTCTTTCAAGCACTGTTTTATGTTTCCATCAGCAGTAAATGGTGGCATCACAGACTTTGTAAAAATGGCTGCCAAATCAGAGACACCCAAGCGGAGGGAACAGAATGATAAAACAATAGAGTTGGGAGACTCCCTGGTCCTGAATGGGTTAATTGTGCCCCTGAAGGACCAGGAGCACAGCCTGGGAGCAATCTTGGACCATGAAGGTTTTTCCATGAAAGTTCAGGTTAACTCTGTGTCCAGGGCAGCTGTCTACCAGCTCCTTGTGGTATGCAGGCTAAGATCCTACCTGCCCACAGACCATCTTGCCAGAATGGTACATGCCGTGATACATGCCAGTATGCAAATAATACCCAGCTCTATCTCTCTTTTAATTCAGAACCAGTGAAGGCGGTGAAGGTCCTGTGTGAGTGTCTGGAGGCGGTTGGAGGATGGATGGCAGCTAACAGATTGAGGCTGAATCTTAGCAAGACAGAAGAACTGTTTTGGGGGGACAGGAGGCGGGCAGGTGTGGGGGACTCCCTGGTCTTGAATGGGGCAACTGTGCCCCTGAAGGACCAGGTGTGCAGCCTGGGAGTCATTTTGGACTCACAGCTGTCCATGGAGGCACAGGTCAATTCTGTGTCCAGGGCAGCTGTCTACCAGCTCCATCTGGTACGCAGGCTGAGACTCTACCTGCCCACAGACTGTCTCGCCAGAGTGGTGCATGCTCTGGTTATCTCCTGCTTGGACTACTGCAATGCGCTCTACGTGGGGCTACCTTTGAAGGTGACCCAGAAACTACAACTAATTCAGAATGCAGCAGCTAGACTGGTGACTGGGAGTGGCTGCTGGGACTATATAACACCGGCCCTAAAGGATCTTCATTGGCTCCCAGTACGTTTCCGAGCACAATTCAAAGTGTTGGTGCTGACCTTTAAAGCCTTAAACGGCCTTGGTCCAGTATACCTGAAGGAGTGTCTCCACCCTCATCGTTTTGCCCGGATGCTGAGGTCCAGCTCCGAGGGCCTTCTGGCAGTTCACTCACTGCGAAAATTGAGGCTACGAGGAACCAGGCAGAGAGCCTTCTCAGTAGTATATTATTATTATTATTATTATTATTATTATTATTATTATGGACCCTGAGGGTCATCTAGTCAACCCCCCTGCAATGCATGAATCTTAATCTCAGGGTTGTGGGGCTTGAACCCACATCCCTGAGATTAAGAGTCTCATGCTCTACCGACAAAGCTAAGTGAGGTTATCCACCACTTTTTCTGTTTAAAACAACAACATTACTCAATGTGACCTAAAGTGTCAGAGGTTAAAAACAACCCATCAACAAGCATGCTAAAAACGAAGTAATTAAAGGAATGGAGTGGATGCAATTAAAAAGAACAGGGGCAGCTTATTTTAAAAATCACTAAAATTCCAGGGAGCGTATAAGCAGTTAGCAATAGGGCAGATACCTCTCGGAATAAAAATATATTCACAAGGTGACAGAATAACACCGGGGAATGGGGAAGGCAAGTCTACCTTCGCAGAGAGTTCCATAGCCTGGATGTGGGAAGGACAGTCTTCTAGCAGATAGCAATGAGTGAGCAGGCTGCTTAGTGGTTTGGGTAATACAACCAGTTCTTTGAATTAGCGATGGAAGCCTTGAGAAAAATGCTTGATAATGTGGTTATGTTCCATGCTGCCTCCATTGCCTCTTCATTATGTCATCCAGCAGAGCTTTTCCGGGTTGTACAGGCTGGCCCAATGGAGGTGGTAGAACCAATGTAGCTTGCTGTGACTTGTTTGCAAAGCATTTTGAGGATAAAATCGCTTGCATCCACTGAGATTTTGACTCCGCTGTTGTAGCAGATGAATCTCATGGGGTGTCCAGAACACTGTCTAGTCATGCTGTGCTGGATGAGTTTCAGATAGAAAAACTTGAGGATGTGGACAAGGGGCTCGGATCAGTCAGGGCGACCACTTGCGCTCTAGACCATGGGTAGGCAAACTAAGGCCCGAGGGCCAAATCCTGCCCAATCGCCTCTAAATCTGGCCCACAGACGGTCCGGGAATCAGCATGTTTTTACATGAGTAGAATGTGTCCTTTTATTTAAAATGCATTTCTTGGTTATTTGTGGGGTGCAGGAATTCGTTCATTATTATTTTTTCAAAATATAGTCCGGCCCCCAAAAGGTCTGAGGGACAGTGGACCGGCCCCCTGCTGAAAAAGTTTGCTGACCCCTGCTCTAGACCCTTGCCCCTCTTGACTGATAAGAACCAGCAGGGAGGGAACTCCTGGCTGGGCCAGGGACGTGATCAATGCCTCTTTACGAGAGGGGGTGGTCCTTCCCTTCTTGAAGGAGGCAGTGCTAAAACCACTCCTTAAGAAACCATCCCTGGATTACAAAAATCTAACTAACCTCTGGACAGTTGCTAATCTTCCTTTCCTGGGCGAGGTTCCAGAGCGGGTGGTCGTGGACCAGATCCAGACAATCTCTTGGAGGAAACTGATTTTCCAGATCTATTTCAGTTGGGGTTTAGGCCTGGTTTCACCACAGAAATTGCTTTGGTCACCCTGTATGATGAACCCTGTCAGGAGAGAGGGGAAATGTGTCCCTGCTAATTCTCCTCAACCTCTCAGTGGCTTTCAGTACCATCAACCATGGTATCCTTTTTGGAATGGCTGTCTGAGTAAGGGGCACTGCTTTGCAGTAGTTCCGGTCCTACTTGGATGGTTGTTCCCAGGTGTTGCTTGTTAAATTTGCTGTCTAGTGTCTAGTCTTTGACTGCAATAAAGATTGGTTGATTGGTTGGAGTGTTTTTCAGCTCCGTAATGTCTTCAGTGTGGGGTTCCGCAGTGTTTGATTCTATCCCCTATGCTGTTTAACATCTACATGAAACCACTGAGTTGGATTACCCAGAGGTTTGGAGTACAATGTCAGCAATATGCTGATGACACACAGCTCTACTTCTCCTTTACATCTGCAAGTGAGCAGGTGAATGTGCTGGACCATCGTCTTGCCTTAGGGACGCAGGTGGCACTGTGGTCTAAACCACTGAGCCTCTTGGGCTTGCCGATTGGCAGGTCCGCAGTTTGAGTCCCCATGATCGGGTGAGCTCCCGTTGTTCTGTCCCAGCTCCTGCCAACCTAGCAGTTCGAAAGCATGCCAGTGCAAGTAGATAAATAGGTACCACTGTGGCAGGAAGGTAAACAGTGTTTTGGGTGCTCTGGCTTCCATCACAGTGTTCTGCTGCGCCATAAGCAGTTTAGCGCCGCAATCCCATGGTCACCTTTGACTGGACTTAACTGCCCAGGGGTCCTTTACCTTTTTACTTTTTTATATATATATAGAAAGGCCATGCGCCCAGCTGCTCCAACCAAAACATTCTCAACAGCAATAGGCAGATTGTGGGCCTGGCTGCAAAGGAACCTAATTAAAATGCATCGCTTAAAGCAGAGTGGCTAGACGAATCAAAATACTATGCCAAAAGAAAAGAAAAAAGAAGAGAAAGGGGCTATCTAAGTTGAAAAGGAGTGACATGTTTTCTGCTTAGCTGAACATCCAGCCTTGGAAGTCCATGTTTGCCATAGGTCTATTATGCAGTCACTGCAGAACATCCCATTGTTTCCCCAGCTGCACCAGCTCCATCCATCCTATTATTATGTCTTTATTAAACAGCCAGCATGGCTATTATTATCATGGAGCCTGCATGATTAGAACAGCACGGAAGATTTGCTAGTTACTTCCTAAAATGGAGGCTGCCAACACCCGCCTTCCCTGCCCAAAACACAGGGTAAGTTGCAGCTGTAGGTGCATTCTTTGAGTTTACTTTGTACTGCGCTGAGAGGGGTGGGTTGGTGGGCACCCAATTCAGCTGCATGATGGGAACGAGGGGAACGGATGAAGGAAATCAAGCCCAAGACAAGCCTTTTCTTTAGAAATGTTATGCTGAAATAGATAACAGTGTTGTTCAGAGCAGCTTATGAGTCACGGTGAAAGGGCCTTTTAACCAAGAGAAGTAATAAAGCGGGGAGTGAGTTTTACCAATTGTTTCCCTTTTGAGAGGGAACCCACTGTGGCCCTACATACATATCTGTGGAGTTCTTAAAAATGGCCCATTTATTAGTACGTTGCGCACTGAATGAATAGTGGTACATCTACCTCTGAGCACACACAGACACGACACAGCAGGAGATCAATAGCAGAAGGTCGGTCAGGGTAGGACCTCACAGCACATGAGCAGAGGGGGACCTGCGATAGCTTCTCTGGCGATGTCTAGCAGTCAGGAGACTGCAGAAGGTCTTTGGATTTCATGTCGGTGGGCTCATCATTAGAGGTGTCACTCTGGCTCAGACAGAAGGTAAAGGTAAAGGTAAAGGACCCCTGGACAGTTAAGTCCAGTCAAAGATGCTTTGGGGTTGCAGCGCTCATCTTGCTTTTCAGGCCGAAGGAGCCGGCGTTTGTCCACAGACAGCTTTCCGGGTCATGTGGCCAGCAGGACTAAACCACTTCTGGCGCATCGGAGCACCGTGACAGAAACCAGAGCGTGCGGAAACACTATTTACCTTCCCGCCACAGCGGTACCTATTTATCTACTTGCACTGGTATGCTTTCGAACTGCCAGGTTGGCAGGAGCTGGGGCAGAGCAATAGGAGCTCATCCCATTGCGGGGATTCGAACTGCAAACCTTCTGATTGGCAAGCCCAAAAGGCTCAGTGGTTTAGACCACAGCGCCACCCACGTCCCTTTCTATATATTAGACAGCAGCAGCCTCAGTTCTGCTACAGAGGATATGCTTGGCTCCCTGATGACCGTGTGCAGGAAGTGTGCTGATATCCAAACTCATGTTTGCATACCACCCAACAGTCCCCCTTTGAGCAGGACATCCCAGATTCACAGAAACCACCCCGCATGTCCTGGTTCCCACCTCCCCCAGGGCAGCTATGACAGCCTTTGCCATGGTCTCCACCACTCTGGACACCTGGACGTGAGTGCAGCACATCCGGAAGCACAATTCCGGAAGCCGGCACACCATTTGTGATGTGGGATGTGAAACACAGAGCAGTCAAGTACAACATCCCTAGAGTGGACATAAAAAGGGGGATGTCTGGACCAGTCAGTTGGAACTTCCTGTTTCCTCCTAGGCTGGGACAGACTTCCTCTGCATGTGACTAGAGGTGGGCATGGCCTCACCTGCCCAGGTAACAAAAGCATAGGAATGTCCGCCATCTCTCTTTCTCTCTGACTCCATTCATTGAAGAAGCAACATCTGCTTAGCCTAAGATGCTCTCTTGGCTTCCAGCCAAGAGAGGACAAAGGGACTATCTCTTTATGGGATAGATTCCAGGTATATTACTTTTGTAACTTAAGTCTGTCTTCTGGGATCCATCTGTGAACAGAATGTGAGTGAGTAAACTCTTTTTATACTTTTATAGAAGACTGTGTCGTGTCTATTTCTTTTATGAGGGATTAAAGGGGAAATTACCAGGTAACTTATTTTAGAGGCTTTAGCGAGCCTGAGCAAACACAACCACTGTGCAAGTTTAAAAAGGGGGGTGTTACTCTGCTAAATTGTAGAACTTGTTAACACAAGTTGGAAAGGATATAATCAAACAATATATCCTTTCCTGCATCCCTGAACATTCTCACATGTGATGGCCACGGCAAGCCCGAGGAGGTCATGAGGGAGCTGAGGCCCAGTTGCTGTGGTGGCAGTGGAGGAGGAGGAAGAGAGAAAGCTGGTGATGGTAAGGCTGTGGCAGTGTGCTGGTCCCGTGGGTTACCTGAGAGGCAAGGTCCAAGTCTGGTCAAAGGTGCAACATGGAGGCAGTCCATAGTAGCTGAAGCTGGGTGCAGGGCAGGGAGTCAGGTGAAGTCAGGAACAGGCTTGCAAGCAGGGATCCAGGGCAGGTCAGGAGCTCAGGCAGGAACTAGCAACCAACAATGTTGCTCCCGCAACTTGGGACTGGGGCTGGCTGGCTTTTATCTGCCTCAAGGCATAGGGTGGCCCCGATCCTCTGGTGATTCACCTCTCCTGGCCTGGAGGTGAGCACTCCTCCTGTGGGAACTTAGTTCCCTCCGCCTCTCTGCCCTGAGCCTCTGTAGCTCAGGAGAGGCTGGAGGGTTACCGGACCCAGAGGCAACCTCTGCTTCCTCTGACGGGGCTGAGAGTGGAGCACCTGCAGGCAATGGGTCCTCCATCACCTCAGGGGCCAGAGCAGACTCAGCTGGTGCCTGCACCTGAAGATCCAGCATAGGTGAGGA